CCTAACATAATGTGAGATGATGTTTAAATAAATATTGATTTCATATTGATAGATTACATGTATAGATTTGTGTTTAAAATTTGCATGTTAAGAATCAGTATATTGAATCCATGTAGGTACGCAATATGTTTTATATGAAACAAAACAAATGTGATTGATTAGCTGTAAATTCTGGGCTCATCTGTTCTACACTGCAAGATAATGTTTTCTGCCCCATAGTTGATGAGCTGCTCAATATGATCCCATAATTGTTGTTAAAGCTCAAGGAATAAACAGAGGGTTTTAAAACAATGTCTCAACAAAATAAAAAACACATGCTTTTACTGACAGTTCAAACATATAAACATTTAAATCCCAAAGCACTTATCCTTTCCACCAAGAAAAGCTTGTTGGTGATGAAAATTGCTTCATTTGTCTTACTAGAAAATGATAAACAGATATTAAAAGGATAGTGACCCTGTATGTGTGCAGGGCCAGGGGTGATTCTGTTGATTCCAAGAATACCTTCCAGTATAACTTGAAATTGGTTGTAGCTCCTATAAAAAACAATCCGTACCTATTAAATTTCTACCACAAAGTTTCTAGCTCTTAAAATTGATCAAAAGTCATAAATCTTTAAAGTTTAATCTCACAAAAACATTGGAGAAATTATCCTCATGGAAATATTAAAAGCCAGAATTTCTTAGTGTGTACCATCCTGTAAAGAAATGTTAATAATAGAAAAGAAAACTGATTAATCTAAAAACTAGATTGGGGGGGAAGCTGCCATATTTCAATTTCTTCTGTGTTCTGTCATAAGACAACAGCCTACCAATTGCTAACACATCCAAAAGACAGGATACACACAAACTTCATTTAAATGAAATCTCTTCAAATCCCGAAATAGCATATTGTATTAGCAATCTGATTTAACAATACCAAATTGATTACATGGTTTTATACAAACCTCTATTCAAAAAGAAATAATATATAGAAGTTGAGAAGATAACAATTCTCAAATACATGAAGACCTGAGTTTGGAACTCCAGATAAAGCTACATACATATTCCCCCAACACACACACACAACTAACAGGTGTGGTGATACACAGTTATGGTCCTAGCAACAAGATAGGCAGAGACAGGAGAATCTCTAAAGGTCAGTGGAAGCCAATATCATCAGTAAGGGAGCTTCGGGTCTAGTGAGAGACTGCCTCAAAAGTAATGTGGAGGGTGATGAAGGAAGATGTGAGAGAGAAAGAGAGGACAGACACAGAGACACAGAGAGAATAAAGAAAAATACATCAGTGTATGTGATTATAAACCAAAACATTGTTTTCAAAAATACCAAACTTCATACTTAAATCTGAAATACATGATCTTCTGGAATACATGATTTTCAGAGAATGAGCATCATCTTCAGACTCCATTATTCTCAAGAATAAAGTCAATGTCATTAGGTCTCAAACTTTGATGCTATAACTACTAAGCTTGAAAACAGCTCAAGGTTATCTGATTCCTACTCAGGGTCAAAATTCTGGTGCTGATCAAAAAGAAGCTAAAAAGTTAAGCTACTTCTTGCTTATAGATGATAATAATGAGGTAGACTCAAGTGCCTATGGAACATCAAGAGGTTTGGGGTGTTTGATATAGTTATTCCAGTCTATCATTTCCTATCTGACAATGGGGAAACGTGTTCAAAAATGTCACTTGAGTTGCCTAGAGCCCCAAGAAGCACATTGCAAAATGGAGATCTAGACTCAGAAACCTCTTCTTGTCAGATACAGGATTAGTCTGTACTGAGGGATTCCAAGATAAGCATCTTGTTTTCACAACTTCTTTTATAATGTGTCATGTCAATTATGGCTCAGATCAGCATTTAATATATATTTTAACTACATTATTTTTAAGAAAAAATCTGTTTAAGAAAATTTACCCATATATCTCCCTAAATATACTGTATTTTTAATATAAAATTTTTAATATAAAAGTCTCAAGATAATTGGCTAGTTTAGCTAAACTTCCTATGGATTTCTAAAGTTAACTAAATATTAAATATGCATCCATATAAGCTTGCAACATGAGAAGTGGTAGCCACATAAGTTCTAGGATATTTACAAAAGACTAACAAAACCTGATGCAACACCCTAAATTTTCTGATCTAGCACACATTGGTTCCAATGGGTTAATTATAAAATTGGCAAAATCTTTAAGATGTGGTTTTTAATAGCTATGTGTAGTAATTAGGCAGACGAAGTTTCATATAAATATGTACCAGTGAGCAGTCAATTAAGAACCCTAGCCTAAGATAAAGCTGCTCAGTGGCACCAAGTGTAGTGACACAAAAGTTGTAGTAGCAACCAGCCACTATCTGATTGGATTAAGCCCACTCCATGAGATGGAACCCATGTCTAACACTGCTAAGGAGGCCAAGAATCTGAGACTAGATAGGCCATGGCTCTAGAAGAAAACCAAATACCATCATACCAAGGAAACATATCAATAAAATCACTCCTAGTGACATTTTACTGTAACAGTAGATTGCTGCCCTGCTCACCACCATCAGAGAAGCTTCCTCTTACAGTATTTGGGAATCAATACAGAGATCGAAAATTGGACAATGTGCGGAGAATGAGAGACCTTGGAACAATCAGTCCTAAATGAAATGTCTTTATCAAACCCTTCCCTTCAGAGCTCAGGGAACTCTGCAGAAGAGGAGGCAGAAGGATTGTAAGAGCCTGAGGGGATGGATGACAGCGAGGAAACAGTGCCTTCCTGATACAACAGGACTGATGGACATAGGAACTCAGAGACTGTGGTAGCACGAACAGAGTCTAGACTAATTTAAGTCAGATTGGTCCCAGTGCTGAGAGGGTAAGTGAACACAAGTCTCCACCTCTAACCAAGAAGCTATCTCCAACTGACAACAACTTGTAAAAAAAATTAGTCTGTAATGGAGTCTCTCACTGTACACATAAACCATTCTTAATGGTAGAAATGTCCCATGCCCAGCAGCAGATGGCCACCACAAAATGAACTCAATGGTCTTTTTCTAGATTTTTTTCATATTGCTATGTTTTGCATTTTATATATTATGGCTTTCCAATCTGTGTTTTTATAAGTTTCGTTGTTTGGTGTGTGTGTGTGTGTGTGTGTGTGTGTGTGTATGTGTGTGTGTGTGTGTGTGTTTCTCATGTTTTTTTTCTTGTTTTTCTCTTGTTCGTTTTTAATTGTCTGTTTCCTAAAGAAAGACGATGTGTAGTTGAAGAGGTACAGAGGTGGGAAGGATCTGAGAAGAGATTAAGAAAGGAAAACTATAAGCAGAATATACTATATGGGAAAAATTATGTTCAGTTAAAATAAAAAGAAAGTTGATGCAGTTACTTAAACTATTGAGGCTATCCATTAGGCTTTAAAGTTCATGGAAACCACCAAATTCTAACAACTTATTGACTGGCTCTTGAATTTACAAAAGATTAAGAACACTTCACAAATCCCAAGTGCACCAATGGCTTTTCTTACAATAACACTGAGATCATAGAGCAACACAGTTCCAGAAAAGACATGGTGCTCACATGTGTGTTCTTGTGAAGAGTAAAGGAGTTTTCAAATAGCAACTATTCTTTGAGAATGACAGTCAATCACAATCAATCACAAGTCAGTTGATTTCTAGGAGTCTCTACATAGAAAACACACAATTTTAACAAAATTGAACAAAACCACACACCTCCAAAGCAATATTAACTAATGTTTTCCCTTGTAGACATTTCCTTTCTCCACATCTTAGCCCATTTAATCACATTCCTAAATACTACTTCACACTTCACAGCAGGCAATTAAGATTCTGTAAGTATTCAGAACATACATCTGTGTACCCATTTCTTAAGAAACAAGAAAAGAAAATTACTTAGCTGTAATTCATAGTCTCAATGAGTCGTAATTACAGCTCTGAACCTCTTGAACCCAAGTGCTTCCGTGGCGCATTTGAGATAAAATATTCCATCCAGCAAGTTGAAAGCCATTCAGTGTCCTCACAAATAGCAGAATGTATACTCAATTCTTCAGGTTCAATGTATGTCTAAATATATCTGCTTTCTATTTCAAGATGGAAAATGGTGAGTGAAGACAGTTGCAACAATGGCTCAAAGGATCAAGGAGAAAGGAACAGAAAAATTACTTCAATAGATCTAAGTAAAGTGTTTCTCCATTTAGGAAAATAACCGTAAGTTCTCACCCCCATAATTGGGAGCTGTTCTGGTTGACATTCCTTTTAGCCAAGAATTATATGGTTTGTCAATGTTCACAGATTTACAAAGAGTACCAAATCAATGCTGAAAATAGTTTAAGTATGAATGATTCAGAATTTCATTCAGAACGTTTTTCTGCCCTGGGCTTTAACATTACACATATATCAATTCTCATTGCACACGCTATATAAGGTGTATCAGAAATAGGCACAATTTTGTACATATTTTAAACTCTACCTTTGGTATCCATGGGGAATTTGTTCAAAGATTGTAGTAGGTATGAAATTTACAAATTCCAGCCTCTTACATAAAACAGTGCAGCACTTGAATATAACCCATGCACACCCAGTTTCATTAACACAGTTGTAATTTATGCATAATAACTCAGAGAGCAAACATGCTATGTTAATAGCAATTTCACAATATTGCTCAGGGAATAAAAATAAGAAAACTTTGCCTGTTTCTATTCAGGACCTGTGCAGTTTTTACAGATATCTTGATATATATTTACCTAAAATACAGATGCCATGGAAATGTGACTGGATGTTAATAAATCCACTTTATTGTATTTAATGAGAACTATCTGTTAATTGAAAAAGCAGATATCTGAACCAAGAATTAGTCACTGACCTGTCTTCAGTATATTCAGAACCAAAAGACAGACAACAAATACAAGCCCTCAAATATGAACATACACATATATTTCAATGCTTCACAACAGAGATCTAGTTACTGGGACAAATTCTGGATAAAAGTGAAAATGTTGGAAACTTACCACCACACTGTAGCTGCTGAATGGTTCTTTTCATCCCTATAGCTGTGAGTGACCCCCAGGATATTCACTTAATCACTGGTGATGATGCTTGTGTGTAGGGTCTCCATTACCCCATTGCTTTTGGACTTGATGCCAAGGGAGCCTTCCTGTCTTACCCTCCCTGATGGTGGATGAGGGTACGGAGTGTGAGCAAGAGGCTGCCTCCACTCCTACCTCTAGGTATACTTCACAATGGGAGATGAATTCCAGAACCTTGTGTGAGACATTGGAATGTGTGTTCTCATGGAAAGAAAAACCTAGGTAACTGAATCTTCTCAGGCAATGAGTGACATAATCCAGTCAGGTTATTTGGTGCATAAAGTCAGAATAAACAACTCCTGATCACGTCATTCTTATTATAAAAATGTATACCTAGCTTTAAAACAACCACAGAAGTGGTGTTGGAAATACATCTTAAGCATTATTTGAGAAATAGGTATACATTGAAAAGAACAAATGAATAAATTGAATCACTATGTAACAAAATCACTTTAGTGAGCATACTTTTCAATTATTACATTGAAAAATGATCATGTCAAGAACATTAAAGTCAACATGATATAAATGTTACATGAAATAGTATGTTCCTAATCTCTATGAATAATTATTTTAATTTTGGTTCAAATGGCTGCTTCAGTTTTTGTTTATATTTTTGTTCACAGATCTGATGGCATTGGACAGTACTCTCCACGTTATGTCTCACTTTTATTTAATTCTCCATTATAATGATATAATAACACATTAACAAAAATCTTCCTCATTATTCACATTGTTCTCATAATTCACTACTTTATCTCTTTCCTACCTAAACAAAGTAGAATTCTTTGAGAAATGTGTCTTTGTTATTTCCAATTCTCATCTCTTTATCCCTCTCACCCCTAAATTCAACTCATCATTCCAACACATCTGTCCCTGTCAAGACTTTTTATTCCAGATTACTCAGTTCAATAGCCAGCCCTCTGACTATGACTTTCTAGCAACATTTAGTACAGCTTGCATTACTTTTCCTTTCCAGGACATCTTTCCACTCTTTGCTTTACTTCTATAATTCTATCATTTCTACCTAATTCCTCACATCCATTATCTATAATTTTCTCTGACCCTGTTAGGACTTTCACACATAAAAGTTGTTATTCCTTTATCCTGTGATATCTATTGTTTCTGACAGTAAGTAACAGTTACTTTTCTTTTGATATATTAAGTTTTCTACATTGCTGTTTGTTTTTTGTAAGTTTAACTATGATTAGTTTATTTCTATATAACTTGGTCTGTGTGTGCTTAGCCTTTTGAATCCATAATATTGAGTACTACAACAAATTGAAGATGTGTTCATCCATTTTTCATCCATTTTTCCTACCTCAGTCTCATTCCTCTTTTCTGAACTCCTATGAAGTTTTATCAAATCTTTTGATTTTTGAATAGAATATTAAATTGTTCAATATTCTGGATCCTTATTTTCTTGCTTTTTCAAACTCCAACATACTTATTGTAATTTTTCAAGGTCCCTAATTTCTTCATTCCCATTCTGCTACTAATGTATTGATTGTTTTCTTCAATTCATATGAAGCTATTTAGGTATAAATTTTCCATCTGATTCTGTTCCATATTTTCTTGTTTTCTATGGAAATCATCCATGTTAACAGTTACAAACATATTTCTTTCTCGATAATTACAATTAAAATAATGGCTTTTCGTCCTTTTGAACTGATTCTGAAATGTGTACTATCTTGAAATAGTTTTATTTTCCTAATTCTTCATTAAGATCTTCATTAAAGGATCTCTGATTATATCCTGACTCTCATAAACATGCAGTGGAGATTTCAAACTTGATTCTTCAAGCATCAGTTATTGGTTTATCAGATATTTCATTTAACTAAACTCAGCCCTGTTCCTCCAAAATGTTCCTGCAAAACTCAAATTAATGAACCCCTGCCTTAGTTCAAGATGATCACTAATATAAATGGACCAAGTGCTAGTCTCAAATTTAGTAGCATCTGTATACAGAGACCAGTCCTCCCTTTCTCTGCTTCTGTGTTTCCCAGTTCATTGTAACATGTGGTCATGCCTAATTCTGTCTTCTAACTCTTCAGACTAGAACTACTAAGTTTTTCTGCTAAGATTTTAGTCACATTTCAAAGAGAGTCTTAAATATAGTATACAAGCAGTTTCAAAAATAGTATATAAATGGCCAGTAGATTAGTTTCTTGAAGTTTTTGAACAACTCCTTTTGGTATTTTGTCTGAAATTTATAGTTGTCACTTGTTACATGATATGCTATCACATGACTGGTCACACACAGTAAAGAAGAGCCTGCCCATAATTTAGACCATGACTTTGCATATTGGGCCAATGCCGGAACACACTTCAACTGATATGTCCAACATGACAGTTGGGTGTGAAATTTAATGTACCCAACTCAGTGATTGCCTCATCATTCCCCAAAGCCTTCTTCATCTCCATGGGTTACAGCTTCCTTGTCTTAGCCTCCACTTCTCTTAAGAAAATTGCCAGCCTCCCAGGGATAACAACTGAACACAGAATAACAAGATAGGGCTGGGTGGGGCAATCTAGTAGGAGGAAAAGGATCCTAAGAGCCAGCAAAACTGTTAGAGACACCCCCACTCTCACTGTTAAGAGTCCCAAAGAACACCAAACTACATAACCATAACATATATGCAGACGACCTAGCTCAGACCCATGCAGGTTCATTGATTGTGACTTCATTTTTTGAGGCCCTGCTTAGTTGATTCTGTGGCCCATGTTCTCCTGAGGAATTATATGTTTTCATTTTTAAAATTATATTTACTACATGATTTTTAAAAACAAAACATTGTCAGTTGCAAGTTGTTCAAATAATAGATTCAAGTCTTTGACCCCTCTGGTCCCTATAGTTCTTCTCCTTCTTTCATGGGGTTCTGGAGTTTCAAGATGAGGACCCAATAGAGATCTCCAATTTTGGCCTAGTGTTTGTAGGCCCAACTCTTAGCAAGCTAATCAGTCTGGTCTCTCTCCTCCTAGCTCGGCATAATAGTTCAGAGATTACCTGGGTAGAAGCAAGGATAGTTTAAAACCAGAAAACAAATACTCTTCCTGCCTACAACGTAAAGCTTTTCAATTTAAAATCAAGGAATTCACTGTGTTCTGTTTTTTTCTTGCTTTAAGTCCCCTACCTTTTTGTGGTGAATGTGGTTGTTGTTGTTGTTAGTTTTCACTATAGTCAATGACTAATTCTTAGATACCTAAAATGGAGAGAAAAGAGTTTTAAGACTCAAAAAAGAAAATAAACAAAGCTTAAATGTAGAAGAATCCGTGTAGGGGAGAGAGGGGTAACACGAGACTTCACTGAACACTTCCAAATGGTCACAAAATTTAACTTGAATCTATTATTTGAACAACTTGCAACTGACAATGTTTTGTTTTTAAAAATCATGTAGTAAATATAATTTTAAAAATGAAAACATATAATTCCTCAGAAGATGGATCTCAACAGTAACATAGAACTTAACCAGTGTTTTTAAGATTGTAAGAAACTAGCCGTCTGACCTGCTGGCTCTAAAGGTCTGATGAATTTTTACAAAAAAGCAATCAAAATGAAGTAAGAGTGTGAAGGACTTCCTGTCTGCTCCCAAGGATGGTTTAGAGACGCAGGAACACACAGAGTAGGAAAAAAATAGGAATTATCGCTCTTTGACATAAAGTGCTGGGGAGCAACCAGCATCATGTAAAGCCAAAATCTAAATGAAGAAATTCTTAGCCTTAATGAAGGTCGTGTGTAAACATACAGAGAATTCTACACCCATTTTAAAAGGAAACTTGGGAAATTAAGTTCCACACGTGATTAACTGAGCTTTTCACAGGAAGGCAACTGCCTATATCCAAAGTAATATTACTTAAAACTTACTTTCTTTTATAATTAATGAAGCAATTGAAAGTGATTTTCTTTTTATTGCAGGGGATTAAATTTAAAAAAAAATTAAGTCCTCAGGATGTTTGTGTAGACGTTTCCTTTGCCAAGCCCAGTCTCCCAGTCCCAAGACTGTACTCAGTTGGAATTGCACTTCCTCACAAAGCCTTCAGGAGTACTCTGAAGGAGACCATCCAGTCAGCCTTGCCCCTCTCAGTCACCATCTCCACAGTCTACAGAATTTGAAGTCATGCATCTGCTTGTGTCTTGTTATCACTTACTTCCTGTGCCAGATTATAAACTATGAAACCTGCTATGACTCAATTTTAATCCCTCAAAGTTCAGAGCTGGTTTCATCCAGCACCGTCCTGGGATACCACAGCCGTGGCTGCTCAGGTCAAATGGTACGATATTCACACATCTGTGCACATCCTTCAGTGCACATCTCAAGATTAATTGCAGCACCTGGTACAATGCGAGTGCCGTGTTAATAGTTGCTATGCTATACTAGTAAGGTAGTAAACACAAAGGGATATATATGTATCTGATGCAGATGAAATTTCATGTTTTGGTCATCTACAGTTGGTTAAACCTGGAGACATAAAAAGCACCAACACAAAGGGCTGATGTTTTATGCAGCATTTAAAATGATACACACTGCAGAGCAAGCGATCAATTAAATACTTTAAAATAAACAAAAATAAATAATTATTAAAATAAGCAGTTAATTTCCTTGGGGAGTGGATACGGAATGGGATGGGGGTTCGGGGGTAATGGAAGAATGGAAGGGAGAGGAAACTGGGATTGGTATGTAAAATAAGATTGTTTCTAATTTAAATAAAATTTATATATATATATAATTTTTAAAAAGTCTTTTTTTCTTATCTGCACATAAGAAACTCTTGGAGAAAATTAAGGATGCATATGAAACTTAAAAATGGTGTCGTGTGTACATGTGTTACATACGAAGACTGTAAAAGACTGAAAAACTATTCTTTCAGCAGTTGAAAATTAAAGCGTCTGACTCAGCAAAAAAGCTGTTCACACCGTTGACAAAGTGGTGTCACTTGCAGGCTTCGTGGAAGGAGAGTGAGCGAGGCATCGCTCTCTAGTCATTATCCATCGTGTAGAATGTGTATAAAGCCTAAGAAGTCTGGACAGCACTAATGGATATCAAAAGACCAGGAAAGTGATTGCCATTTGTGTTTGTGTTAGCTTTGTTCCTAAGAAATAGTATTTGGGAATTTATGTGATTT